CATTGACCTTTAATGCTATAACCCGATAGATTTCCGTATGCTGGGAAATCATTAATTGTGCCAAACAACATCACCCTCAAATTAAAACTTTCTTTCCTATATCCATCATAAACCTCCACACCATTCTCCCAAAAACTCTTTAGGTCTTCGATTAAAGGTGTCAGGTATACGTCTATGTCATTCCCTGGTTGTTTAGGGCCAGAAATTAACATAGATAACATCATGTACTTACGCTTCATACATAGCCATGGAGGTAGGTTATAAATCATAATAATTACATGCCAGGTGGAATGTGAGATACTTTGCAGACAATGCGGATTCATTCCATCAGTCGATAATGCCAAGCGAAGGTTTCTAGCTTCTTCTCCAAAATCAGGATAATCATTATCAATTTTCATTCACTGTGGTGAATCTGTCGGATGTCGATACTTCCCATCTACAATTCTATCATCTGCATGCCAAGTCAGGTGTTTTGCATCTGTTTCACTACGAAACATGCGTATGAATCTCAGAATTATAGGAAAATACCATAATACTTTTGCTGGTGACAATTTTTTCTTATACCGAGATACACCGCATTTAGGACACTCGTTTAATGATGCATATTTATTTGGAAACACAATGAAATCATTTGGACAAGCATGTATCTTATCATAGCTCATGCCAATAGAGCATAACATTTTTTTAGCTTCATAGGTTCGATTGGGAAGAACATTATCCTCTGGAAGCATCTCTTGAAGTAGGGGTAACAACTCTGTGAAACTTTTATCCGACCATTCATTACCCACCTTTAAATTGTACAACTTTAATACCGCGGACAATCTTGTGAAAGTAGTGCAATCTTTATACAACGGTTTCTCTGCATTACTTACCAACCTCTCAAACATCTTGGGACAATCTTGAAGATCTTCTTCAAGTGCTTCTTCAATCTCTTCGACTCGATCACAATCATATGTATCCCTGCCATTGTCCTTTGAAGCACATGTCGTATTATTCCGAGGTTCAACATTCTCGTTACTTATCTCACCATGTAATGTCCAACATGTGTAACTTCGATCAATTCCATGTCTCATTAAATGAGATTCCAACTGAACGGCGTCAACTCGACACCCATAACAACATCCTAAGCAAGGACATGTGATCCTACTGGGGTCTTTGGCGTGTTCAACATTAAACTTAACGAACTTCGATACCCCATTCTCGTACTCTTTTGACAATCGATTACCAGACATCCATTTTTTATCCATACTAATTGAGTAATCTACACTAAACTATGAAAGTTAAACAAAACAGAGAATACTTGTAAAGAAATCACTAACTTCTAAGAATGCTACACAGTAGGATGCTTGGAAACGATCACAACTTTGCTCTTCACAGGTAACCCCTATAGCAGACAAAATATAAATTTTATTAAAATCATATTAATAATTAACCAAAACAAAAATACTAGATAATCCACCAAAACAAATCATATTAAAAATACTAGATAATCCTTAAACTAAAATGACACCCTTACTAAACATTGAGAAATCCTAACTAAACATATAAAACCATAATAACATATCATATAAACATTGAGAAATCCAAACTAACATATCAACATATAAAACCATCAACATATAAAACCATAATAACATATAAAACCATATCATATAAAACCATATTCATGTTGGCTACTCTCTTAAAAAATAGGAATTTCCAAACTATATTGAAAAAAACAATATGCTCTATCAAGTTACATTAATATTTTTAGCCATCATTATCTAATATTTTTGTTATATTCAAATTAGAAGAAAACTCATTTGTATGATTGGTGCTAGATGAATTATCCATCTAACTTCAAAATAGCAACAAAATAAAAACAACAATAACATTAACAATAATATAAAACATTTTGAGTTTAGGCTTTTAACAACAACAACAACAACAAAAACAACACTAAAAACCTTAGTGTATACGTAACATATCTACACAAACCCAACAACATTAGTGTTAACATCATATCAAATATCATACTTGAACTTAAATTTACTTACATGTCCTCAAACCCTCAATGCAAAACAACACTGAAAACCTTCACTAAACCTTCAACAACTCAATAAAAACAAAAACAACAACAATAATATTAAACCTTCAATGCCTCAATAACAACAAACCTTCACATTGCAACAACTACATCAAACCTTCAATATCTCAATAACACAAAACCTTCAATTTCTTAATAACAACAAAGAGACAATAACACAGAACCTTCAATATCTCAGTAACACAAAACCATCTATATCATCAGAACAAAAAAACCATCTATATCTTCAAATACCACAGTAATAATGGTGAAAAGATAAATAAACAAGAAAACCAGAGTAAAACTTCACATACCGTAACAATGGTGGAAATGCAATGCAGACGGACGGATGCACTCGAAAACGGATGGTAAACGACGGCAAAATCCAACAGAAGAGGGCGACGGTCGGACGGAGGATGACGGCAACAGAATGTTTGAATAGGACAAGTACGTTCGCCAGAGGAGAAAGAAAGAAGAAAAGAAATGTACGCGACTGTTCTGTTTCTTTCTAAATTCTGGAGGGTATTTTAAAATTATAATACTAATACCTATAGCAGCGCTTTTTAAAGGCCTTTAGCAGCGCTTTAAAAAGCGCTTTCATAGGGTGTCTTAGCAATGCCATATAGCAGCGCTTTATAGAAAAAGTATTTTCTAAGGGTCCCCCTTTAGCAGCGCTTTTTAAAAGTGCTTTCTTAGGGTACCCCTTTAGCAGCGCTTTTTAAAAAGCGCTTTCTTAGGGTCCCCCTTTAGCAGCGCTTTTTTAAAAGCGCTGTCTTTGGTAGGCAATTTTTTTTCTTTTTTTTACTGACCCTTTAGCAGCGCTTTTTTAAAAATCGCTGTCTTTGTATGCGCTGCTAAAACTAAATTCTGGCGTAGTGACTTTCATGCAGCTTTCACTGAACAATTGTCCCGATTCAAACACTGAACTCTATTTTTCGCCTCTAATTGAGGACAATGTCCCAACCTAAAATAAGTTTCTCTCGCCAATTTGATTATGGATATGTTTCTAATGCCTTTGAAGACAAAGCTCATTGATTACACAAGGTATGTTCTCATGTGGCCCCATCATCAACCCTCATTAAATTCTCTAGCTCACTCCTCCACTAGAATATTATTGACCCACCTTAATGCATCCGCATTTGATAATCATATTTTATCGCGGTAATGTTTGAATGATGGCTGATTTAAAGCATGTCATGTCTTCACAACTTTTTTCGAAGACTCTTGTCTTTGATTTCCCGCATGAAATTTTATGCAATATGTCTAATGCAGCAAACATGTGTAGAAGGAGGGATTTTCCAACCATTATCAAGATTATTGTATGCACTCTCAATAGATGCATGTCTGTCTGAAATCAAACAGAGGTTGAGTTGTGGAGCAACATGTGTTCTGAGATTCTTGAGAAAGAAACTCCAACCACCACTAGTATCACCTTCAACTAGAGCAAAGACAATTAGAAAGATATTACTGTTGTCGTCATGTGTCATTGTCATTAGTAATACTGTCTTGTATATCACGTACATCCATGTTCCATCAATTTGAATAATAGGTTTGCAGAACGTAAAACCTTTTATGCATGGTTGAAACGCCAAAAAAAAGTCGATTAAATATTCTATTTTCATTAACACAAGTTTTTTGCTGCATATATGTCGGTAGTGTCTCAATTATTGCAACAATTCATGGAACATATGTATGAAGTGCCACCAAATATTGTGCAAGTTCTTTGTAATAAGCCTCCCGATTTCCATATACTTGATCAATAACCTTTGTAATTGATATGTGTTACAGCTCAACATATAATTGACATGTGTCTCACTTTCTTCTTCTTCTTCATCGTCAATAATATCAACGTATGTCATTGAAGTTGGTAGTTCAGCTTGATCAAATATTTGTGACTGTTGAAAAATATGAGGTTCTTGAGACTGTTGAGGTTGTTGGAGTAAAATATGCAACTTAATATAGTTGAATTCAGAATATTCATGACTAACAAATATATTTTAAACATCTTCATCTTCTTGAATCTTTAATTGAAAAAATTTGACATGATTATTTTTAAAAAATGTAAGATTTCGATTAATAGAATTGTTTTAAAAAAAACATTTAACAAATATATGACTACCAAACACTACAACAATCATTTTTTCATTTCTCCAACGAAACATTCACATAAATCTCGTCATTCAACTGACAACCTCTCAGTATTTGTTTTTCCTTTCTTTCTTGAAACTGGCCATTGAAATTGCTGGTCATAAACAAATGAATTTGCATCATCCAAATCAACCATTGTTTCATTCTCAAATAGATTTTGCTTGTAATTTGGCATTGATATAAATGGCAGCATACTTGATTTTCATATTAGTTTGTCATTTTGCTTGCATTTTAATTTTAACATTGTTTGGGATTGCAAACTTGCTTGCATTTTATTCATATTAGCTAGTATTTGGTTTGTATTTTGCTAATGCTATTTTTGATAGCGTACTAATTTTACCACATCACTCTAAAATAATTCTTTTCTTTTTCAAATAAGCTTACCCAAACATATAGAGATAATCCAATTATAGTGAGAATCTGTAAGGTTGTTGCAGGGTACGGGATTGCATGCCTTTTCTGTTACAGCCTATTTATCAAACGGATTCAAGTATAGTGAGAATCTTAGCCCAACCTCTTACCCTTTGGACAACAATGCTTTCTAGTTTCTACTGCAACTTAAACTAAAAAACAAAAACAATTACTCACACTCTTCACATCTTTTTCAATCATGCACGTGTTATTATAGATTACAAAGTACTATGCATTTCACCACCTTTCCGAAAATTTCCAAAAACTCTCCATCACGTACGATGATAATTACTAATTTGCCATTCTATCATGTATCATAATATATACATCCATTTCAATTTTGAGTAGTAGCAGTGACTAACCATTCTCAATCAACATGACTAGATTTGAATTAGTTTTCATCTCTACACCAACAATCGGAAACATGGTTCCCACTGTTGAATTCGCTAACCATCTAGCCAATCACAACCCACAACTCTCTGCAACAATTCTCATCATCACAAACCCAAAACTACCGCTTGTTAACACTTATCTCCAATCTCGACCTTCCTCCGCCACTAATCTTAAATTCATCCACCTTCCTATCGTAGACCCTCCCACACCCGATCAATACCAATCCTTCATCGCTTACATCTCTCTCCTGATACAGAAACACAAAAATAACATCAAAACCGCACTCCTCAACCTCACGGCTTCATCAACTGAGTCAAACTCTGACTCGGTTAAACTCGCTGCTGTCTTCGTTGACATGTTCTCCACCACCATTATCGATGTCACCGACGAGATCTCTGTCCCTTGCTACCTTTTCTTCGCGTCGCCGGCGAGTTTCCTTGGATTCACGCTTCACCTTCCTCGACTCGATGATGTCGAGTCGGAAACGGAGTTTGAAGTCCCGAGTTTCGAAAACCCGCTTCCGAAACCTGTTTTGCCTAACTTGGTTTTGGATTGGAAATCTGAAGAAGACGCTTACTCGTGGGTTTCATATCATGTGGGAAGGTTCAAAGAAACAAAGGGTATTGTAGTAAATACGCTACAAGAACTTGAACCTCGCGCTCTTTGTTCACTTTACAATGATTTGAAGCTTCCACCAGTTTATCCAATTGGGCCGATTCTTGACCTTGATGGACCGGCTCAATGGGACCCGAACCCGGTTCAATATAATTACATTATGGAGTGGCTCGATATGCAGGTTCCGGGTTCTGTGGTTTTTCTCTGCTTTGGTAGTTTGGGAAGTCTCGAAGTGAAACAGGTTGAGCAGATAGCTATTGGGCTTGAACGGGCTGGGGTTAGGTTTTTATGGGCTTTAAGGGGACCACCCAAGGACCATTTACAGGATCCAAGAGATTACGCGAGTTACGAGAATGTTCTACCGGATGGGTTTTTGAAACGAACGGTGGGGATGGGTATAGTGTGTGGGTGGGTCCCACAAGCAAAGGTGCTAGCCCACAAGAGTGTAGGTGGGTTCGTTTCGCACTGTGGTTGGAACTCGATATTGGAGAGTTTGTGGTATGGTGTGCCAGTTGCCACGTGGCCGGTTTATGCGGAGCAACAAATGAATGCGTTTCAGATGGTTAGAGAATTGGGATTAGCGGTGGAGATTAGGTTGGATTATAGGGTGGGTGGGGATCTGGTGCGGGCGGAAGAAGTTGAGAAGGGTGTTAGGACGTTGATGAACGGTAGTGATGAGATTAGAAAGAAGGTGAAAGATATGAGTGAAAAGTGTAGAGTGGCTTTCATGCAGAATGGGTCATCTTATACTAACCTTGTGTCTCTGATTCAAGATTTGACAAAATAATTGATGCTTGTTAATGTTGTTTTATAATATTAATCTTTTAATAAAACAATTAATTTTCTTATTGTTTCGAGTTAATGCTTTTGTAATTTGGTTTCAATGGAATTTGCAGCATTTTTATGTAGGTGGGTTCTTATTTATCCATTTTAAAATATTGGATAAAGTTGTCATATTTAAAGGCTTATATTTGTTCATTTTAATGTGTTATTTAATTATTCATAAATAGTAGAAATATATTTTTAAATAATTAGATATTTATTTTTAATATATTAATTATATTAATTGTAATTTTTTAATTACAATTTATTTTAAATCTTTTTTATTAAACCTTTTCAACTTTTTTTTTCTAATTAACGATGTTTCTTCTTGCCCATTTTCATTTTTCTATAAAAAAACTTTATCTCCTCTCTCATATCTTTGATTGATTATTGCTTCAACATTTTATTGAATTTCTGCTCATTATCACAAGGTAACTATTGCATCAACACTTTACTAGATTTCTACTCATTATCACAAGATAATTTTTCATCTTTTCTTTAACTTTGAATTTGCTTTATATTATTAATAGACAAATATTCAAATTGAAATGTAGTTGGTTGATTTTAAGGTTTAAGATTTTATATTTTTAGTTATCTGAAATTACTTTAGACGATTACAAAACAATATTGATATAACAACATCTTAGTTCTGGACTTCACTTTTGTTTATTATTCCTATTTATTTCTGCTTACATTTAATAGTAGTCTTTTTCATGTCCTTTGATCCGTTGTCGCGCACGGATCAAAAACGAATATTTTTGAAAACAGTAGTATCGTTAACGACAACTCGAATAACGTTCTCACAAAAATTCTTATATTATTTCAACCAACTAAAGAAAAAGTTTATGGGGGGTTTTAAGTTTTAATTTATAAAACAAGAAAAAAAGTGATTAAAATAAGTGATTATCAATTAAGCTAAAACGACGAATCCTACTGATTCGGATTCTGATTTATCATCGGCTATTATAACACCAATTCTTAAGCGGCTTAAATCCTATTTGATTATGATATTAATCTGACAAGCGCTTATCAAAATCATACGAATTATGTTCCTGTTTACCGAATTCAACAAACGATTAAGAATATGACTAATTAACGAATTAAACAAACGATAACACACAATTAAGTTTAAGAACATGCATACAATCGAATTTAAATAATTATATCCTATGAACATAATCGAATTAAGCAAACGATTACAATCAAATTAAGCAAATGATTTCATAGAAAAGAATTGAACAGAAACCGAATTAAATTGGTATTATAATAACCTCAAAGTAATGGAACCCGTAAGCAACAAGATTTGCCTTGGGAATTAGTTTTCCATTAAAATCGTACAAAAATCAAAAGTAAAATTTGTGAAAAGAAGGTTAAGTGACAGCAGTACGGCTGCTAGGTATAAGAAAGCATCAACACTTCTGGTTTTAACCCAACTGGGTTGAAAAACATACAAAACTCGGCCCAAAACTAAATATTTCAAACGACAGATTTTGGGTCCTGACTTCAACGAATTATTTGGACCTACTACACTCCGAATCATCCTCTGCCTCATACATAAAAGTTGTAGCTCTCTGTCTTAGCTTTCCAACGCCTATTAGAACGCACAAATCTAATTCTCGCAGCTTCAGTTATGATTCAAACAGTGGACATATATCAAATAACCGCTAAAGCTGAAAATAAGCTGCGAAAATAAAATAAAGGTAAAAACAAACTTAAATATGAAAACATTAAAATAGTAAAAATACTCAAATAAACTATAGGAATGCCTAAGTATAACAATGGAAGAATGTGTATGAAGATGTACTGATCAAATTCCCCCACACTTAAACTTTTGCACTCCGAGCAAAATATTATCAAGACTCGTGAAACACATAAGTATTTAGATACTCATTCTAGGCTGTAAACCCTTCTTCGGCCAAGATTTCATTGATAGGTACTAATTTTGCACACTAAGGATATCGTAAGAACACAAATTCGCAATTGTGCGGTCATAAAGCTCCCTCCTATACAAACCAATTCAAATCATGTTATTATGCTTAAGTCTAACTTACTCATCCTCCTTGTTGCTCTCTTTCATTCTAATGCAATCATATTAAGCCTTTTATCTATTCACACACATGGTAAATAAGCTTGTTAGTGACTATGATCCATATATTTTCAACAATTCAAAATTAAACACGTTTGCTTTTTTTTTTAGGGTTTCACAACCGTTAGCCTAAGTGACTGAGTGAGGGTCACCTAACTTAAAAGGTGGATTCCTACTTAGACTTTTTATTAAGCACGAGATCATTCACTTATTTGCATCAACTTAATTACTTAGTGTGTGATTTCTAGATGGTGTTGACTGCTAGATAAACTACTTAAGAGCTATTAAAGGATAAGAACTCAAGGTTATGTCATAACAAATATTTAAATTGATTTCCATATTCGGGAGACTTAAGGTGTTAAAACGGTACCGATCTTATAAAATTTTCCCAAGTCTCCATAATTTAACCTCAAATTAACCTATAGCCTAAAAATTTCAAAAGATCGTTGTGTTTCTAAGTAAAAAAAATTTAAGAACAAAACCAAAACAAAAGAAAATTTAAAACAAAACAAAGAAATGGTTCCCTCTCCCACACTTAAAATATGCATTGTCCTCAATGAAAGAACATAAATATAAATAAAAGTGAGAGAAAGGAAAGAAAACACCCGAGTATTCAAGGTGAATATGTGATCACATAAGCATCCTTTCCCAAAGAGAGATCTTCTGCAAGCTCCTCTTCCAAAGTGGGGATATCATAAAGTAACTTTGGGTAGCATCCATTGATCTTGAAATATTTATTAGTGCCTTTTCCTTTTATTCCAAGATCAAAAAAGAATCTTCGATGAATAAAAGTGTCGAATGGGAACGTAAATATGATATCTTTTTCCACAACATTAGAGATCAAAGGATTAAGGGGTTTCCTCACTACTTTTCTTCCATCTTCCATCGAGGTCCATCCAATTCTCTTCTCATGTTTCTTCAAAACCTGCAAAAGTTTATTATCTTGATCAAAATCAAGGTTAGAAGAAATTATAACAGGTAACTTTTCATTCCTCTTTAAATAAACATATTTTAGATTGTCCGGAAGTGGTTTAAGCTCTAAGGAAGAAGGTTTTTCAATGGAAGGCATGGTCGGGGCAGCCGGGATATCAAGAGTTTCAGCTGCATAAACGACATCATAAAAAGCATCACCCTGCAAGGCAACATTAATCTCAGCACAAACAGAGCAAACGTTAGTGTCAATACATAAATCGCAAGAGTAAGTATCATCATTAATCTAATAAAGATGGAAAATCAGACAACAAATCAAGATAAATATAATCAACTAAATCAGACAATAACTCTTTTGGATTCACTACTATTTGGGCGGGTAGTTGGTTTAATTCTTGAGCTTGCTGCATGACATTCACTATAGTGGCCAGCTGTACAATATGGGTCAGTAAAGCCTGAAGACTAGAATCTGTTCGTTGCTAAAACTGAAGATCATTTATAGTCATTTGCTTGACAAGGTCCACTAGTGAAGGTTCGGAAGGTGTAGAGCACACAATTTAGAATTCCTTCAGATGCTTATTCTGATCCTCACCTGTAAGACCATTAAACCTTGACAACAAATGTACTAAACCAGATTCCAATTTGAAAGGTACAGTAACAACATGATATTTCGTACATAAAGTATTATAATTCACATCATGAGCAACAAGTTCTCTAAGAGTTCTTTGATTTGTCATTAAATTTAATAGGAAAATCAAAAAAGTAAAAGAAAACAAAGAACTAATTCAGCAATGCAGCAATAATTAGGAAAATACCAACAATGTCCCTATTTAAAAAAGAATGAAAAAATAGAAAAGTGAATAAAATAAAATCTAAAAATTATCAAAATATTACTAAAAATAAAATAAAATCAGAATAAATCTATACAAAAAATTTCGGATTTTTTTGAAAATATGAAAATAGAAATTAAATCAAATAAAATAGAAAAATAAGGAATTTGCGATTTTCAGGGTCAAAATCTTTTAGAATTTTATTCTAAAAGAGTATTGTTCGTCGATTATTTTTGGATTTCAGGGAAAAAATTCGGATCAAATCGAAACAGTAGCTTCCAACTTACCTGATAGGCTGAAACGTTTACCCTTATTCTGCAACCGTGAAAATTAACACAAAAATAAAAAACAAAAAATCAAAAATCAAAAAACTCTAACAAAACTCTAAAATTAAAATTCTAAAATTGGTTAAAATTAACAAGAATCCCCGGGAACAGCGCCAATTTGATCCGCTGTCGCGCACAGATCAGAAACGAGTATTTTTGAAAACAGTAGTAACGGTAACGACAACTCGAGTATCGTTCTCACAAGGATTCTTGTATTATTTCAACAAACTAAAGAAAATGTTTATGGGGGGTTTTAAATTTTGATTTATAAAACAAGAGAAAAAGTGATTAAAATATATGATTATCAATTAAGCTAAAACGACTAATCCTACTGATTCGGATTCTGACTTATCATTGGCTATTATAACACCAATCCCTAAGCGGCTTCAATCCTATTCGATTATGATATTAATCAGACAAGCGCTTATCAAAATCATACAAATTATATTCCTGTTTATCAAATTAAGCAAACGATTAAGAATATGACGAGTTAACGAATTAAGCAAACGATAACACGCAATTAAATTTAGGAACATGCATACAATCGAATTTAAATAATAATATCCTATGAACATAATCGAATTAGGCGAACGATTGCAATCAAATTGAGCAAATGATTTCATAGGAAAGAATTGAACAGAAATCGAATTAAATTGGTATTATAATAACCTCAAAGTGATGGAACCCGTAAGCAGCAGGATTTGCCTTGGGGAATTAGTTTTCCATTAAAATCGTACAAAAACCGAAAGTAAAATTTATGAAGAAAAGGTTAAGTGACAATAGTACGGCTGCT